CCATGTGGGCCGGGAACCCCCTCTGAGGTGTGCTGTGTCCGGTGTTTGCCCAGGTCCGCCGGGGCATTAAAGGGGTCGTTCGGGACAAGGACACCGAGCAGGGAATTGCAGACGCCATCATTGCCGTGGACGGCATCAACCACGACGTCAGAACAGGTATCGCAGGCGCCACAGGTCAATCACCGCAGTGACGCCCCTCGCGCTGCGGCCAGAGCAGAACACGGCTTCTGGCCTGCCAGGGCTGCGGGGCAGAGGGACTGGGGGGGGGGGCAGTGCCAGCCCCAGCTGTATGGCACGGGGAGACTAGTGAGCCGGGCAGCACTAGCCTCCAGTGGACAGCTGTGGGGTGACATTAGGGGAGCAGCCCTGGGGGGAGCCGGGTCCATGGCCTGCATTAGGGGAGCGGCCCTGAGAAGCCGGGTCTGTGGCCCGTGTTAGGAGAGCAGCCCCGGGGGGGGGGGTGGCCCGCGTCAGGGGAGTGGCCCTGGGAGGTGGGGGGGTCCGTGGCCCATATCAGGGGAGCGGCCCCAGGAGCAGGTGTCTGTGTAACCGGCGCTCGCACAAGGCTGTGCTCTACCCCGCGAGCGGCTGGACCAGCCCGCGGCCTGTGGGTGGAGTCCTCACTCCATGGACTCGGTGGCAAAGCTCCCGGCTTCGGTGGGGCCGGGGATTCCTGCTCCGAATGCGCTGCTGGCTCTGAGCCGGCGGGGCTGGGGTGAGGCTCAGGCCTTCGGAGACGCAGGTCCTGGGGTCAGTCCCCCAACCACCCACCCAGGGATGTGCCGATGAGCTAATCCGTCTGGGTGGCTCAGCCCATGGGGAAGGGGGGATGACGGATGGACCTACGGCCCCAGGGGGAAAGGAGCTGGGTGGGGTGGGCTCTGGATGGGTATAAATAGCGGGACTGGGGTGAAATCAGGGAAAGGGAGAAGGATGCTGACAGTCAAGGGCCGGCCCCAGCAGTGGGAGCTGTGCCGTGGGACCAGTCACCCCAGCCCCAGACAGCACTGGGGGGAGCAGCGCGGCGTTGGCCCTGGGGAGGGCAGGGCCCAGGCCTTGTCTACGCAGGGCTGCTAGTCGCGGAGGTGGCCGCACAAGCCCAGCCCTCTGCGGACTAGGGCTCAGCAGAGACAGGCGCTAACAGACCCAGCCCTGTGACCCTACCGCCCCTCAGCCCTCACCCGTCACCCCGGCCTTTATTGTCACCCCGGCAGCTTTCGACGGCGACTACTGGCGCCTGCTGAACCCGGGCGAGTATGAGGTCACCGCCGCGGCCGAAGGCTACCACCCCGTCACCAGGACCTGCCGTGTCTCCTACGAGGACAACCCCACCCTCTGCGACTTCCAGCTCACCAAGACGCCCAAGCAGCGGCTGCGCGAGATCCTGGCCAAGGGGGGCAAGATCCCCAAGGACCTGATCCTGCGGCTCCGGCAGCTGCGGCTCCGCAAGCTGAGGGCCCAGCGGCAGGCCCAGGGAGGGGACTAACCCCTTCTGGACTGTGTGGGGACGTAGAAGAGGGATGTGCTCTGTGTGGCTCGCGGTCCCTCCCCCACACTCTAGTCTAGCGGCTTCTTGCTCCTCTGTGTTGTTTCGTGAGTCTGTAGCGGGGTGTGACTGCCGGCCCAGTGTCCTCCTGGGGCCTGTCCCTTCCTACCTCCTGCCCTGCCCTTCCTGCTCTCCAGCCCGCAGCCCCTGGCTACGTTCCTTGGCAGTCCAGCCCCAAACCTTGCTTCTGAGCACCCAGATGCTCTCAGTTTGGGGGGGGGGGTACCTGGGCGTGGCAAGAAGACAGCGGAAATCAGTGGTGCAGACAAAGCTGCAGGCATGTTCCCTAGGGGCACAGGCAGCGGACAGACACCCGGGACGGGCTTTGCCAGTAGAAGAGGACTTTGTAACACCTCAAAGAGCAGCTTTCCCTCAGGAGGGTCTCAGCACGGCTGCTGCCGTCTTAGCCAGACCAGGGACCCCTGTTTAGTGGGTAGAGCCTTTGCCTAAGGACGCTGCAGGGCCCGGTCCAGCCACCCAACAGAGGCCTCTGTTCCGCTCTGCCTGGCCACCGCTTGGCAAATCCCGCAGGAGGAATCCCGCAGGCAGCAGTAACCACAAGGCATTTGGACAGCAGGCCCCGGGGCGTGCAGAAGAAAGGGGAAGGGCCTCAGGAATGGGAGCTGGGCTCAAGGTGAGGGCCATGGCTCTCTGCTCCCGACTGCGATGGGCAAGGAAGGGTCTTGTCCCCTCTCTACCTGAAAGGGGTGAGGTCAGAAGAGGGGGAAATCGCCCGCCCGAGGGAGTTTGCCTTCATTTACACCAGTGAATCCGTTTCTTTGGGGGGTTACTGACACGTGGGGGGCAATCGCTGGGTTAACAAGCAGTTGGCTCAGTAGTTGAGGGGCTACAGGTCCGCGTGGATATATCTGCTGTGAGCCTGCGATGGTTCTGTTGTGCAGTGTAGGGGAGGAATCGCACACGTAGTGAAAGGGGAACAAACCGGGGTGTGTTTGTGGTTGAGCTCCAGAAACAGGCCAGGCAGTGCAGCACCCTGCGTAGCCACGGGGGCGCCCCGTGACGTTCCCCAAGAGCAGCGTTTGGCCCCGGGAAATGCCCTAAGCGGTGTCTATTCGAGTCTCCTGGGCGTGAGCGAGCGGCCGCCACTGATTCCTCGAAACATGCGGAGTCTGCATCTGAGACTCCAGGCTGGCCCTTAAAATAGCTCCTGGCACACAATGGGCATGACGCAAGCAGGACTTCGATTGCCTGGCACGGGGTCTGGCTGGGCAGGAATCCAGGGCAAACATACATCAGTCAGACCGTACCAACCATGGTAGGGTGTGCGCTGGCTGGATTCCCAGATCCCTTGGGAGGAGGGATCCTGGTGCAGTCAGGGATAACCTGGTTCCGCCCCGTTGGTAATGACAGCACAGTTCCCAAGGATGAGCCCTGTAGAATAGCCAGCACGCGCTCGTTTGGCGTTCCATCATCCGACTTCACCGGACCACAGGTGACATCTGGGGGAGCCAATTCCTGGCCAGCGTGGTGGCCACGGCACCCTCACTGAAACCATCACCTGTGGCACCAATTGTCCCCCCTGGCAGTCTCCTCAGGGCCAACACAAGAGATACCAGCCGCCTTCTCAGCTGCGAGGCGCCCCTCCAGGGCAGGGCAGAAGCACGTTAAGGGGACACAGGTCCTGATTTCGTATTGCTCCAGGTTCCCCGGGCATTACAATTAAAAGGCTGTTACTAAAGAGCTAACTGGCGCCTCGTCCGAGCCCCGACCCAGATCCTAGGCAGAGATGACTCCGCTTGGTGCAGTGAATGGTTCCTGTGGTTTCCTTTCCCCTCAGCCTTTGTTGTCAGGGTACTTGTGGGAATACAGTTCCTCCCCAGGGCGACTCCAGGAAAGACACTGGAGTTACCCCAGGGATGACTTTAGCCTCAGCTCTTTGTTTTCCCAGAGCCCCAGGTGAAGACACACTCCTCGGCATGAGACGTCACAATTGTTTCCTTGGCACCGGCCTGCGATGTCACAGTCAGAGGCTGAGACTCTGCAGAACAGATGGGCTCCCAGGGCCAGCCGCTGAAAGCCGGAGCGTGTCCGCTGCACCCGCCAGGAGCTGTGGGTGGGTCTCAGCACCGCTCTAGGGTCAGGCCCTCAGCGAACCGAGGACAGTGTCCAGGAACAGCCGCTGCCGAGGGCGTTCAGACGTTACTCAGAGCTCTTCTGTGCAAGCCCAGGGCTAGTGGGCGCTTCGTTCTGCAGGCAGGACCTGACTGGAACAGGGCGTGTAAACAGCAGTGGAGCAATGGCTCGCGGCTCCGACCTAACGGGGGCGGCGAGAAAGGACCACTGCTCGGGTGGGCACTCAGATCAGCACGAGGCGCTGAGGAGTTAACGATACAATGCTGGCATTCGGTGTCCTTGCTAGGCAAGTGACATCCTCAGCAGCAATAAACCTTCGCCGTTTTACCTTCCAGAGCGCGTGGCTGTGGGTTCGTTTCTCGTCACTTCATCGATTTCATTATTAATTCGGTGGGGAACTGCGGGGGGCAGAGACTGGGCGTGTGCAAAGCCCCTGGCATGGGCCACTCACAGCTGGGCCAAGGGGGCAGCCCTGTGGGGCGGGGAACAGGTGGGGGTGGGTGACCCCATGGCCCTCCCCAGGCAGTTTCCGTGTCCCTCCCTGCCCCTCGGGTTTCAGCCCTGCTGGCATCTTTGGTGAATAGGCCACGCCCCTGGTTTTTAGGCCACGCCCACCTGCGGGAGGGGTTAGTCTAGGGGATTATGCCCCACCCCTTGTGTATCAGAGCCCGCCCCCTTTCCCAACGTGAGGCCATGTGACATTAGGCCCCGCCTCTCTAAAGTGCGTCCTGACCCCTGGGTAAGGCCACGCCCCCGCGCACGCCGCGCCCTCCCCGCCCAGCGCCCCGCTGGCCGCCTATTGGCTAGCGAGAGTTTGTGGGCGTGTCCCCAGAAGGAGCGCGTCCAATGAGCAACGGCTCCGGGCGGCGTCACGTGGGTGCTCTGGGGGCCTCTGGAAGTGGCGTTGCAGAGGGAGGGAGCCCGGGGCGGTCGGTGAGTGGGGGCGGAGGGGCCGGGCCGGGCCCTTCCCGGGCGCCGCGGGGCGGGGCTGTGCGTGCACAGAGCTGGGCCCGGGCGTGGGGGCGCACGGGGGGGCTGGGTTGGAGGCGGGGCTGGGGGGCGCCCGGGGGGGCTGGGTTGGAGGCGGGGCTGGGGGGCGCCCGGGGGGGCTG